TCTTTTTTTTCTTATGATTTTTGATTTTTCTGTTCTGGAGGTATCTTTTTTCTTCAGATATCTTTTTATTATTGAATTCTGCCATTAACATCAAAAAGATAGTCTTATTTGATGATTGAAGGATTTATGAAAAATTTCTTCACTTTCAGGTTAGAAGCACAGTGAAATCGGATGGTTTTCTGTATGACTATTTGGATCCACCATTGTTTTGGGAAATGATAATTATTGATCTTGTTGTGGAACGTCAGAGTTTCTATTACGGTCAGTTTCGTGAACAGTACTGCTTTGACAAACGAGGGAATGACCTTATGGTTGAAGTGAACATTTGTGACGTGACCCACATATCTACTGGACGTCGTTTCGGGTTCTAATTTGAAAATTTCAAGCAATTTCGTGGAAACGTACCCAAATCGAGGTCATGGCGGCATTTCTCCGCGTTTTATTTGAACGCAACATTGAGTGGCAGCATGTCTCACTTGTCAGCGGGAATGTGAACAAAATGTTTTACGGCGATTTGAAGTCACATTTTGCGTCAATTGTGGGGTCATGGGGTTGGAATATAGAGAAAATATGATGTATAGGTTCTGACTGTTTGCTTGTGAAGAGGAAACAAGAACAAACCACTAAACACATGGGAGCGAGGGCCCCTTTTTGGGGGTAGAAGAGTATTGGAGACAGAAATTCGAAAGATATCGGCTCCGAGGCAAGGGAATAGGTTCGAAGACGAGACAGGTAAGAGGATGGGCGAGACGCAGACATCAGGACATTCGCAATGGTTTGAGCATTTCCAACCAAGAACTCTCTACCTTTTTCACTCCCATTATGTAAACAAAAAGTCGCTATACACTTCAAAAACACCAACACATATGACAACATGGGACTTTAGTGTGGTCCATTTGTCCATACTAACATTATAACAAGGCGTGGGCTATGCCCCACAGTACTGGTGGAACCTCTGATGAGTTCCTCATCGTATTGTTTGATTCCAAGGTGTTTCCCAACGCGACGTCGGGAATGTTAGTGGGAGGGGGAGATGCTCGTAGCTAACAAAATCACAAGCTTTAGGCTTTCTCCAAGCCCCTGAAAAAGTCGAAACATCAGGCCACTTAATAAAGGTTCCAAACATCAATCCCGTAGCCCAGAAGAATAAACAAGTTCAAAAATACCATTTTCAGTCTTCAATTTGGTGATTCCGAGTACGATTATCACTCTTGTCGCCGTTATCGGCTTTCATACTCCGAGCACAAGCGGTCGAATGAGGTTGGTGCAGTGCACTTCATTTATGGCTATTTTTACAGCGTGAATCAAGCAATTATACTATTTGGAAGTGCAATTCCACAAAAGACAGTATAACGGCGAAAAATCGCTCAAATAAGACGCTTAGTTAGTAGCCTCTATTGATCCTCATCTCAGCCGGATCCTCGAAAAGGCAAAACAGTAGAGGCGATCAGGGGCCGATCCTACGACGTTTTGAGTACAAATCACTGCCGTTGCGCTCTTTTGCACCACAACTCCATTCAGTTATGAAATCGAAGAACAAATATTAGCAGAAGTTTATGGAAAGTTAGACTTGGGATTAACGTGCGAAGGCAACCGGCTAGTCTTCAAGACTGTCCTTGGAAACACTAAAAATGAGGCGAAACCATATCGGCTCTCATACTACTCACATTCGATCCTCGTAGACCCGCTGTGAAGTTGCCCTAGTTTCACTCTACATCACTTCAGTGAATGCCTTCCACTTCCATCATTACAGTACCGATCAAAAGTGTTCACCGAGACGGTTTTTCGTGCTTCCCTTTTTTTTTTGCTAAAAAAAATCAATGGTGACCTCAAGGATTTTTTCCTGTGAACATTCTGATTTCTTAATACTTGAGGATATAAAACATGAAAAAAGAAAAAACGTAGCATAACACTCATGGTAAGAATGTGCTCAAGCAAGAAAAAATGTTGCACCGAAAATCGTTTCGGCGAGCACATTTGAGCGCTACTGTATGTGTTGAATGGTTCCTGTCCCGAGAGGCAGTCCTAAACTGTCGCTCCATTTTAAGCCCTTCTCACAGCCTCAACACTGATTAGCTTAATGACTATGTGCGTAGCCTCAATTTAGATGGAGTAAATTAGGAGATTAAAAATAGAGCAGAAAAGCCGTCTTACGCTCTTACGGTTTTGCCGTAT